TTCATAACGACGGCAGCATCCTGCTCCCTTTTATTCCACCTGAAAGAGGTCAAGTCACTTGACCCAAAGCCCGGATATTGCAATCCATTCTAATTAGCATTAAGACAGAGACTGCCTTAAAGGCGGTAGCTTTGTGGCTTGCAACAGGCCTTTAAGCTGCATCTGGCAAATCCGTCTTCTTAATAATTACTGTCATCGCTTCATGGCAAGGCGTTGCTTGAATTCAGCAACCAGAAACCCGTCTTGGTCTTCGTTCTACAAACGAGCTGCAAGTGCAAGTTTCTCGTTGGTTTCTCTAGAGAAATGTCTGCTTATCGATTGATTTCTAATTAACAGGAAATGGCAGAAGTCGATCTAGGTGGTTAAGATTAAATTATAGAGGAGGGTTTTTAGAGAGAAGCTGGAAAAAATTTTACAAGCATTTAAACACATATTTTTTAAGGTTTTTTAATGTTAAATTTATGATAAAAGAAGTACGAGAAGGACAGGTCAGGGTAACTTTTAAGTTAACATTTTTATAGATAGTTTGAATGCCTTTTTGAGATAATAATAAAATGTTTATCATAATCAAAAAGTATTTCTAAATTCTAGGTGTTATATAAACAATTAAATTATAATATACTAGCAATGGCTTTTAATTTAAAATTGTAAAGGATTATTTAATAGCTAACACACACCTGATGATAGTTTTTGGCTTAAATTCCTTGTTTAAATTAAACAAAAAAATCAAACTGTTAAATGTAATAGCTTTCTGTGAATTTTCTTCATTTAAAATAAATTAAAAGTACTTAAAAATTGTTAAATAAATAAATAAAATATATTACACTATTTAAAAATATTTAAAAATCAATTTTTTTTTAGGCAAAAACCATTTGCCTTAAGCAAAATTCTTCTCAAAAGTATAAATTGGCAAATATACCACGAGCACATACCACTTCTTCACCAAAATTTAGACACCTGTTCCGCTCTGAGCAGCTAATGACAATTTTTTACCCATTTACCTCACCTCAAAATGTGCTCGAGGAGGCGCGTGATACATAAATAAAATTTGCCTGCAATCAAAGAGGAAAAATCTAGTAAAGAAAAACCAGTTGCTGTAAGCCATGCGCGGATCTCTGTAAAATGTAATGTATAAGCTGGAGATTAATTGCCATGTATGGGCTGGTGGGAGGGGTTTAAAAAAAACACAAAAAAAAAACTAAACAAAATAATCTTTGGCAGATGCAACCACGAAGCCCCAGCACAAGTACAAACAAGTGGCTTGGAATTAATTATCTAACACAGGTTTTGGAGTCGGAATGCTGCACAGATGTGTGCTTGGATTTCGACTGCTCTTTTTTTTTAAGTTTTTTTTTAAATATTTTTTTTGCTGCTAGCTATTTTGTAATATTTATTTGGCTATTGAGCACGTTTTGAAGGTTGCTTTTTGCACGCCGCCGCGCACAGGTGAATTATATAAAAGAGCCTAAAAATCATCATTAGTCATTTAGCCATCAAAGCAAATGCCTTTCTCCCACAATTTATATTTACAAGTGCGTCCATTGAAGAGTTCAATAAAGGCAAATATTGCATAACAGAAGAAAACGAGACCCAAAATCCCAAAAAAAAAAACACCGAAAAAAAGAAAACAAAATGAGACAAAAATGAGAGCTACTTGAAGACAATTTGGTTCGGAAATATTTCAGCAGTTGCCAATGCCCTTACCCACGGCAATTAGCTGAAGTAAAAAACCTCACCTGGCTCACCTTTAATGGGAAGAGCAAATGAGGCAACGGAAATTCAAATTACAAAATTTACAAGCCGTGAAAAAGAGGAACAAAACACAAATACAACCACATGCAATTGCGCGTGGCCAAAACAAAAGGCCTAAACTGAAGACGACCTGTTATCAGGCGGAAGAGTTTCGAATATATATTGGCCAGAGGGAGACCGATCCGGCAATATGTGTAATGCATGACCATGGACGACAACGACAACGGGCCTCGAACTCGGGCAACTTTCTCCACTAACTGCGAGTATTTCTCCGCTTTGGTATGCGCAAGACAAACTCTGGGCTCCGGCTGAGCCAGAAACGCCTGCGTCGTACTGGAATGCCTCTGACGAATGGGCCTAGCATATGGGAACCGCTAGCCATGGTAGCGGAGAGTGGGAGATGGGAGTTCCTTGGCTTTGGCTAGGTCAGGTTTTTTGTTTTTTTTTTTGTGGCTAGGTCAGTTACGGTTTGGTAACTGTTTTTAAGGTCACTCACAGAAGCTTTAAAATGCCATTGATTCTGCGGAAAAAAGAGTTAAGTTGATCAATTTGATTTTTAGGTTGATTGATTTGCCAAAAATTGGTTTAAAGTTAAAATAAACAACAAAGATTAAACTGTTTTTATATTGTTCCTCTTAGATAAATCTATATTTTGTATTATTATAAGCTGAAAATTTGTAAAGTTTAGTTTTTTCTGAATTAAAAATTAATATCTAAATAAATAATTCATTTCCTTTTCCAATTTTATTGTTATTTTCAGTCACAATCCTAGAGATTAATAAAAGTCTCCTAAGAAAACAATTTTATAATAATCTAAAATCTACAGTTTTTATCTAATTTATATTTTAACTATTTAAATTACTTTCAATAAAACTATTTTAGCAATTTTCGCAATCTTCTTTATCTTTAAATTATAAAATAAAATATACAAGAAATGTAATTCTACTTTTGAATTATTTTAAACATTTACTTTATGATTAAATATAGAGAAAACTTTAAAAGTCACATTTTAAGAGTACTTGTTTAATTTAAAAAAAATATTCAATAAATATCTGATGTAAGAAATTAAATGCACCATTTCTTGTTAAATTCCTGATTATAACTTTTGTTAATTGATTTTAAGGTAACTTGTTTAATATAAAATACAAACTTAAAATACATTAAAAAGTGTACAAAACTATATTTAAAATTTATTGTTAAATTTCTGCTTATAAATTTTGTTAATTAATTTCTTAGCTAAAATAACAGTGCCCCAATTTTCTTTTCAATCTCATAGATCCCTCCCAAATCATCAGTAATTTATTTTAAGCGATTTGCTTGATTAGTTACAGATAATTAAGACCTTTTGTCTAGCCTTTAGACAGTTTTTAGCACGCGTTTGAGTCAATTCCCCAGCTGAGATCAGCTAATTTAAATCCGGACCTGATTGCAAGTCGATAATTTATATAAGATGTAATTTTGATTAGTTGCCAGAACAACAAGTCGTCGTCCATAAATGCAACCATAAAAATTTGCATACAATTTTCATGTTTAATTTTTTTTTATGTACAAATAAAAAACAATAAAGCCATTTGCATAGGATGATGCTTCGACTGTTGCCAGGTCGAGTCTCGTCTGTGTTGTGCTGGGGAAACAATTCTCACGTTACGAAATAGAAACCAGGTTGAAGGCCTCTCTCTCCGAAATGGAAAACTACTTAATTAGCCGAAATGAAATCAAATTGTGCAAAATGTCAATTGTAAGCGACAAATTCCATATACAAAACACACTCAAAATTGATCAAAATCGATGCAAAGCATTTCCAATCACTGATTTTGCATAAAAAACCAAGCTGCGGCGAGTCATCCAAGCGGAAATGGCTTTTTGGGTGGGGCCAAAAAGCAAATCAGATCTATTTCGAGTCAAAATTGAATTTTCTAAACAGTTTTAGGCCGAGCTTAGCGGGTTAAGTCACTCTAAATTTTGTTGCGGTGGGTTAATTGTGCCTAAAAAAAATATATATTCCTGGATTTTTAACTTGAATCATTTTTAAATAATTTATTATATATTTTTTTTAGAATTTCTGCATAAGTTTCTTTATATATAAATCTTAAATAATTATTTTATATATTAATGAATTGTTTATATCTTTAATTCCCTATTTTTCAGCTATCCAAATATGTCTGTGCTGCGTGCCCTGCTGCTGCTGGCACTGAGCGCCACCATGGCGCTGGCCCAGCGTCGCCTGGCCCTGCCCGATCCCAGGAGCTGTGCCAACCGTGTGCGTCATGCCAGCTACCGGGATGCCAGGGGCGTCTCTCACTCGTACTTCTTCAGCTGGGAGCATGCTCCCACCCGCAGTCTGGAGGTGGACTGGCTGGACGCCAGGAATATCTGCCGCCGGCATTGCATGGACGCCGTCTCCCTGGAGACTCCGCAGGAGAATGACTTTGTAAAGCAGAGGATTGCCAGGGGCAATGTGCGTTATATCTGGACCTCGGGCAGAAAGTGCAACTTCGCTGGCTGCGACAGGCCCGATCTGCAGCCACCCAATGAGAATGGTTGGTTCTGGTCGGGATCGGGGGCCAAGATTGGACCCACCTCGCAGAGGAATACCGGTGATTGGTCGGCCACAGGTGGATACCAGCAACCGCAGCCGGATAATAGGGAGGCTGCCCAGGGCAATGACGAGAGCTGCCTGTCCATACTGAACAACTTTTACAACGACGGCATCAAGTGGCACGATGTGGCCTGCCATCACATCAAGCCCTTCGTGTGCGAGGACTCCGATGAGCTGCTGAACTTTGTACGCTCCCGGAATCCCAATGTCCGCTTGTAATACTTAACTAGAGCCTAAGCTTGATGGAGATGATAAAATTTACATATTTATGTAGCCTTAAAAAAGGGAACATTGATTGGTTGATGATTGATTGATTTGATTGATTCGATTGATTGCTTGATTCAGTGACTGTTCAATCCAACATTGATGGCTTCCAAAGCGCCTAACATTCGTTTGTTCGGTTTAGTTCTAAAATCCAAAATTTGAATAACATTTTCTGTGTCGATCCAAGCGCAAGATGAACAAAATTGTTAAATAATTTTAAACAAATTGTTAATAAATACGACAAAAATTGAACCCAACAGTGAAAGACGCCCCTCTGTGTTTTTGTTTTAAACATTTAATGCGTATATATTTTTATTTATTTAGTACGATTTCACTAGAAAATGCTTGTATGTAAATATATATATATATTATATATCTGTTTGATAGGTTTTTCCATTATTTGAATACTTTGGTAAGTTCTGTTTGCTTGCTGGAACTTATTCGTCTAGGTTTGTTACAACATTACAACTAGGAATTGATTTAAATTATTTAAAATATTTTTTTTAGATATTTCGAGTTTTGAAGAAGACACAAGGTTAGCAGCAGATTCGATCTAGTAAAGTAAATGGTTCTGGCAAATTAAAATCCAAATAATTATAATAATATACAGTTTACATGCTAAACTTCAGGTTATCTGTTCTTAAAAATATTTAAATAAAATTTAAGGAAATTTAAAATCCAATTGTTCAACATAAAAATCTAACAACAATCAATGAGGGTTAATCTTAAGCTTAGTCGTAGAAATTAACAAGTGATTTCTCGTTTAACTGGAACTTGGGGAACTTATAGTTCGGTTATGTGGAGTTCTGTGTGTTTATGTGGGAACAGTGGTTGTGGTTGTGGTGTTGGTGGTGGGTATTGTTGCTGGTATTTTGCTCAACAAAATACGGTCCTAAAAAAATGGGAGAATTACAAAAAATGTTGTTAATACAAAATGGCAAAAGCATTTTAGGGGGAAAAAAGCTGACAAAACACATAGTTTTTTAGTTAGAATTTAGCATTGAGGCTTACAGTTAGTTTTTGGTTCGAATTAGTAGCCACCACAATGATTTAGGGTTTACTTTTTAGGATTTTTCGTGCAGTGTTAGTCACAAGCGAGCCCCTCTTAGCCAAGACTCGAACCGTAAAGCCCAAAAGTTGCGCTTTACCTGCCGCCAGACAAATTCAACTTCAATTTCAACTTCAATTTCAATTTCAACATCAAACAAGGAAACACCAAACACATGTCTAGGTTAAGACTAAATACGTTGTGGTTACGCCTACGCCTCTCTGCTGGTGTTATTCTCAAATACAGTATATGTACTTGGTATTCTTTTGTTTTCTGGTTAGATCAATGTGCGTGTATCTGTATCTACGTATCTGATATCTGATATCTGAGTTTTGGTATCTTTTTTTTTGTGTTTTTGCTGAACTTAAGCAGTACTTGAGTTATGGGATGCGCCGCTGATTGCGTTGAACAAAGCCATGCTGTTGCGCTGATTTATGCTGTCGGCATCGTCGCTTAGCGGCTGGAAGGACTCATCGTCAAGCAACTCACTGAGAGCCTGGCACAGCTTCTCGTAGTTTTCCTTTAGCACATGATGGTACTCCTTTTGGTCAGCACTAATGATACGTTCGTTGAGGAACAAAGCCTTCTGGCAAACCACAATAAAGTCGCTGAAAGAGAGAAGGAAAATTAATAATGAATCTAAGGAAGTGTAAAATCCTTTTTTATGAAATCGAATAGGCCACGAGATGAGAATCTTTCCTACTACAAATTGTTACTCCAATATACATATATTATACATTCTTTTTTTACGGAGCTTTTCTCTTTTTGTGGGCTGTTAGACTCAGGTAAGTAAATACCTAAAACTATAAGCTAATACTTGCTAGTAATTATAACAATGGTAAATTGTAGTTAGTTTTTATTTAAAATATAAAGTAGGAAACAGATCCATAAATGGTTAATGGTACTAACCATTAAGTAAATAATTTAAAAATTTCTTCTAGTGAAAAACCAGAGCTTGCAAGATAGTTTCTTGCATCTCCAAAGTGCACATTACCAACGAATTAGCATGATTTCTTCTCAATTCCTCAAAAAACATAGCTTAAAAGTCCTAAAAACTAACTTAATATATAAAAAAAAAACCCTTACCGAAACACATCCTTGAGATCGCTAACGCGATCCACAGAGAAATTATTAACTACTTTGGCATCCAGGAAGGCATGAGCGTAGGCCAAAGGACCTGCATTCACGGTCACCGCCACACTTCCTTGCAGGCGCAACTGCAGCTTCTTGACATCGGCTGGCGGGAGAATGATCTCCTCCAGTTCTGAAACCTTTGATTGCATCTCATCGATGGCCACCTCGATGGGACTCAGTTCTATGATCTCGCGGGCTTTCACTGGTATACGTTTAAGGACATAGGGAAAGGAGTATTGAGCTGGGGGAAATTATATTATTAATTACTATATTTTATTTTATATTTTGAAAACTAACTCTTAATGACCGTCTTGCGTTTCCATTGCTCTTCGACGCTGCCCCGAGCTGCTCCCGATTTGGTGAACGGCGTTTCATACATAAACGTGTCCACATCGTGATTCTGTTCGAATTCGTTTAGCCTTTGATCGAGTTCATCCTTGGAGAAGAAGGGAATTACATGGGTGACCTGTATGTAGGCCAGCTTGGCATCCAATTCATCAACTTTGACCTAAAAGTAATGTTAATAAGAGATGATTAAGTATAGATTTTTTTTAGATTTTTTATGGTTTTTTAGCTTGAAAATCTTTATAGCACTCTGAATGTTGATCCCATCTAGTCACCTTTTAAGTACCCTTCACATAAAGTAGCTCGTTTTCCGAATATTACTATATTACTTCCTCACTTACTACCACCCTCGACTGATGTAGTTCTAACAATTCAACAAATTTACTAGCTTCTAGTAAATTGTTTGTTACTTTTTTACAAATACCACTGCAGACCAAGAACGAACACTAGAACCGCTCAAAAAGTTTCAAAATTTCATATTCATTTCGGGTACCCCTCCCTAGTTTCGGCTGCTCATCTCACATCATCACATAGAGACACAGAGCTGAGTGTCCGTTATGGAGCACTTTTTTTCTTTACCGGTTCCTCGGATGTCAATAGGAATGATCCAACCTGTTGAGTACTCTCCCCTCAACCCGAATGCCTTGGAGTTTGTGCCCTCGCATCGCCAGAACAACACGGAAATCCACAGCATCAACAACATAGAGACTAAAACGGAGGCCACTTCAACAACCACATTGTCTCGTCCCGAGATCGTTGGGGATGCTGTGAATCATGTGGAGAATGGTTATTCTGTGCAGCGACAGATTTTCGAGTGCCTCAGCCAGCTGGGAGATGAACAAATGCCGCTGGAGGAAGTCGGGGTGACTTTGTTGCCCGGCGGACGAGGCCTCAGCATGAGATTCACCACCAAACAGAAGCCGGGCCAGCTCTTTCAGCCGCCGGATCCCAACGATCCGATCTACCACAAGGGCCACAGCCTCCAGCTGGATGTGAGCGATCCCAAGAAGTTGGACAACCGCCCAGAGAGCGTCCTGGTGGCCCAGTTCCTCTTTCGCGTCAACGACTTGCTTAGGGAGAAGTACGAGGACGGCGGAGATGCCTCCATCTGCCCCAAATGCACTCTGTGCTCCAATCGCAGCTACACGGAGCTGGAGATCGAACACCAGATCGAGGGCATTAAGGCTTTCGAGAACTTCACATTCACCGAATCCACTCGCTACCAGGACTTGGTTTCGCATAAGGCCTTCCAGGAGCTGTGCCGCAAGCTGGGCCTGATTGTGAGCCGGGATCAGATCCACATCAATAGGGCCAGCAGTGGACAGTCTCCAACTGCCTCGCCGCCGCCACCCTCGGCCCAGACCTCGGTGGCCACAGTTTCCATTGACGACGACGAGACCGTCACAGAAATGGAAACGGATGTGGAGGCGTATGCCGGGGACGATGAACAGCAGTTCAATGGACATGACCTGACACCAAAGGGGAGTACCTATCCAGAGACTTCCACGAAATATGTGAGGGGAAAGCTATACAGGTGAGTGGTGACATAACTTCTGCTATCCTGCTTCCTGCTATCCATTATCCTTTTTCAGATATGATAACTCAGAGGGATCCCAGTTCGTAAACCAACTGACCGAGATGGGTTCCCAATGCTCTGAACCCACGACGGGCGACCCTGATAATAGCCAACCATCTACACCGGTCAATCCTATGATGGCCTCCAGTATGCCAACCCAGTTTCCGAGGGTCTACAAGACAGCCAAGGCCAGGTGCTCGGTGCGTGGAGCGGGGGCTAGCCTTCAGAGCGGATCACAGAACCGTAGGGCAACTCCTTACAATCGGCCGCCAGTGCAGAATCCCCAGGCCACACTCACAACCATCCAAAGATGCCGGCTTACGGCCGGCGGTGGCCAGTGCCAGGCCACCGCAGCAGCAGGGGAAGGCTGCCCGAAAGCCCGAAAGCTCCATGCGGAAACCTGCCTGCCTGCACCGACTCGCAAACAGAACTATCAGCGGGCAACAGCGCCGAAGTCCGAGTTGGGGTGCCAGCAGGCGGGCGCCATGAAAGCTAATAGTGTGGCAGGACGTCTGCCCAGACAGGGTAGACAGCCGAGCACTCAGCCGAAACCGACGTCGAATCATTTGTGAGTAGGTTTTCAGGGATTTAAGGTTCACCAATTTCGAAAAGGCTTTCTTCCCAGGTGCAGCAAGGCTACGGCCCAGGGACCAACTTCTAAGCAGCAACATGCCACCGCCCAGCGTATGATACCAAGGAGCACCACCACATCCCTGATGCGCCAATCGGAGGTTAAGCGAGTAGGTTGGATTGATTGATTGATTGATTGATAACTTTTTGCTAACTATAATTTCTTTTTTGTAGCGTATGAGCCTGATGCGCGGCGAAAGCGACTCTGACATGCTCTTCAACGAATATCTCTTTAAGTGATTCACCACTGCAGATGGGTTGTATGGTTATTATTAGTGCCCTTAAAGAAATAGTGTTTCATCGTAACTGTATAGTCTTAAAAATTTAAATAAAAAATTTTAATATTCAAAATTAGCTTTGAGATATATTCCCAAGATGTTAAGACAAGAAAAATAATCTAAAGAATAATTAATATTTTTCCTATAACTAAAATTAAGTCTCACCGGTGACGAATCCATGATCATCTTGACCACATCAGCTCCAAACTTCTCCCTGTACTGCTTGCCCAGTCTTTCGGATATCTCACTCAGCGAGGTTAGCTTTGGCTCCTTGTACACATACTCAATAGCATGGTCCTCCTCAAAGTACATCTACAAAATAAACAAAAATGTAATGAGTTTACACTCCCCTCCTGGGAAGAAGCTTCTTACCATTCCATAGAAAACCACTCGGTAGAAACGACCCAGCATCCTTTTGCCCGAACGATTCACCTCCACAATCTTGTTGTAGGCCTGGGTCAAGTGCTCATAGCAGTGGGCCAGTTCCAAAAAGCTGCGATCCCTTTCGTACATCGGCAGTATAAGCTTATAGAGCTCTCCCAAGCACTCAAATCTCTCAGCGCGATCCAAGAAATCAGCACACTGTTTCAGCTGCTCCAAGAGCATTTGCTCTGTGTACTGCGAGTCCTGGGCCCCTGCATCCAACTTCAGACCCTGCTCATCCAATGGAATATTTCTGGATATCTTGCCAAAGGCCGTGGACGACCAACTGAGACTGCACCCTCCTCTCAAGCGCAGATATTCGCACATCAGAGCTGCTATGTGAAGATGACAGCAGGCTGCCTCCGAGAGATTTCCATTCTGCTCGTGATTCCTGGCCATGGTCACCAGCCAGGTGTGACGCAGCTCCGGCGTGGAGGCATACGAATTGGCCAGGGAATACTGTAGCTCCAGCAAACGTTCCGGATCCATGTGATGGGCCTGCATCTGAGCCGTGGCCATGAGGACGGTGCGCACGCGACGTGTCAAGTCCTTGACCTCCATGGGAAAGCCAGTGCCCTTCATGGCCTTGTCGCTATTCGCATAGCTGTTGATGATGGACAGGCTCTCCTGAAACCGGGCATTATTCAGCCCAATCACATTGCCAATCATTTGGGAGACGGAAATGATGACTTGGAGGTGGACTCGGGTGAGGGCTTTCCTCCCACTGAATTCGAAATTGCTGCGCATAAGAAGATAGAGTACGGCACAGGACTCGTGGCGTATTTCCACCAGGCGGCTATCGCAGGCCTTTAGAAGCTCATAGACCATTTGACCGCAAAGCATGGCATTCCCCTTGAACAAAGCCACGGCATAGTTGTTGATAAAAGCTCTCAGAGCAGCAAAGACGTGCTTCGAGAGCCTCTCCGACTGGCCAAGTTGCAGGAATCTTAGATAGACGCGGGCCAACTTGGGTAGGATAGTGCTATCCGCTAGAAGTTGCCGGAATTGCAGGACATACATGCCGAGGCAGTCCAGGATTATCATGCCCACCTCAGTGGCCAAATTGGATTCGTAGAGCGCCAACTGACTTCTGGCCAGTGAGTCCATATCTTCCAAGAGATGCTCTCGGGTTTGGTTGAGGGTGCCACTGTTGGGCTGCTGCTGCTCCTGGCTGTTGCCATTCTCCAAACCCGTAGGAGGTTGCGTTCTCGCTGGCAGCGTGTGAGCCTTGGCAGAGCGACCTGACCGGGAGTCGGTTGGAGTTAAAACCACACTCTTCTTACCCACATAGCGGAATTGCAGCAGGCAGAGATCCAGAATGGAGAGGAACTGCAGGGTCTCGGACTCATTGCAGTTCTGCCACCAGGCCACCATTTGATCCTGCGACAAGTGCTTGATGATAAACAGGAAGCCCAGCAGTAAGTCCTTGCTCTCCGCTGAGCTGAACTTGTCGCAGCGCGAGAGGATCTGTGCATGGGTTACGCTCACAGAGCGATTATGACCATTTCGCAGGGCCACATCGGCATCTCCGTTGGTATAAGCACCAATGGTAGTGGTGTCCTGGGAGTGCTATCGTCAAAAATAACATTAAAATCTAAAAACTAGAATATAAAAACCAACAACTTACCCCAGAATCCGTGTTGGAATTAAGCGAAAGATTGGAGATGCCATTACTTATGGGCTGTCCAGCTATGGCGGCCAGGTAGTTGTGCTCCTTCATGTGGACCGAGGTGCGATAGGGACTCGGCTGATCGCAGTGCAGAGTGAGGCGATTCTTTGACCTTGGAGTAGAAGTCAAAGAACCAAAAGTGGACGAGTCCTTGCTAAACACATAACTGCTGGAGCAGCTCAGTCGCTTCGTATAGGAAGCCGAGTCGGCATAGACATGGCCATTGGGTGTACAGGCTCCGGACTCGGACATGTCATCGATGCGATGGATGTTGTCCATCACTACACCGAGCCAGGGAACATAGAGCAGGGCAATACGCGACAGTTGTCCCCGCTGCTGATAACGGTTATCCAGCTCGTGCTTGGCCAGCAGATCCTTGAAGATGCCCAGAGCATGTCGTCGCACATGACCCACCTCGTTGAGGCTACTCTTCAGCTCTTGGAGCAGCAAACCCGACAGAAAATGCTGTCGGCAGAACTGCTCAGAAAGGGTAAAGTGCTGCATCATCTCTGGCGGTCTGTTCTTGGGATTCAATACAAACGGCAGATTGAGTGGCACATAGTGCTCATGCTGACAAATCTCCTGCAGAAAGTTAAACTTGTACTCGTGGAGTATCCTGGCATTGCCAGGTGCAAACTCTCCCATATAACAACGAATCAAACGATACACAAATCCCCTGTCCATGTAGCTCAGGCACTGGCGCACGAATCTCGCCAGAGAGCGATTTAGCAGATGCGTTTCCTCGCCCAGATCCTCATAACGCGTGGTGATATATGGCATCAGGACCTTGATCAGTTGCTCCACCCGATCGGCATACTCCTTGGGAAACCTCTCATTCCTTAGCATCCTTATCCTGCCAGTGGCCAGCAAATGCTGAGCCATACTCTTCACAATCAAATCGAAGAATATGGCAGAGTAGCGCATGAATTTGTTGACGATAAGGAAATCGGGATTGCTGGGATTCAGGAGGAAGGGCAAGTGCCGGCAGAGCTCTCCATGGACAGTCCTCTGCCTTGCCGTTTGCTGACTGTAGTAAGGAGCATGAAACACGTACTTTACATAGGCTCCCAGCAGATCCGGCCTCTTGGCTTGATCGCTTATCAAGTGTATAATGTTTGTTATCAAACGGATGACATTTAGGCCAATCTCCTCGGACTGGGTGTGAACCAGCAGAGTGAAGAGCTCATTGAGGACAGTGGGCAGGTAGTTAATCAAGGAACGCATATCTATGGCATGAGCTGCCTTAAGGATCTTGCAGGTTTCCGTTTCCGCCGGCACAGCTCCCGTCTTGCCGCCCTCTAGAAGTCTTTCGCAATGTCCAAAGAAGTTGTGCAAGTGCTGGTCCGCCGTTAGAACCGTAGAGTCCAGTCTTAGCCCCACCGTATAGAGATTCCTCTGATTGTCTATCCACTGGATGTCCGGACCGCAGTTCTGCTGAGAAATTGTAAGGGTTTGTAGGCGTGGCCAGGGGAGGTGGATGGTGTTGGGTGCAGTTAAGCATGCGGTTGAGTGCGGAGAGAGAAGAAAAAACAAGTAAAGAGAGCACACACAGGTTAGTTGGCAAGCCAATGGGGGGATGTGTAGATGAGGTGAATGTTGGATAAAAGACAAAACAAAACAAAGATCATTTGCATGAGTTGATGAACGCACGGCCTTGGCAAAGCACACAACGTCGTCTATGACTTACCCCCTTGCCCCATCCCAGAGGCTGAATGGAGAGGTATCCCACCGGCAAGGTGGCTGCCACCGGCAGCTGCTGCTCCTCCAAACAAATCCTATTCTTCTGTAGCAACGGCAGCCAGGCATATCCTATAGGCGTCTCAAATGCAGCATTTGCATCCCGTTTTTTGCTCAGATTACACGACACATGGTAGAAAGAGAAGAGCAAATGATGCTCTGGAAATAGACCCAAGGGAAGACGCAGCTTGATCTCCTCGTACCATGTGGGAGTCACATTGTGATGTAGCACAGGGCAGGCTATCTGGGATACCAGCAAATCCTGTCCAGGACGACCATAGATGCATTTGAGAGGCTTGCTGTACTCTCCATCGCTGTCCCTTAGCTCCACCACCACGGTGATGTTCCTGGCTCGCGAGAACAGCTTCTGGCTATCAAATTGCAAGCTCAAAGGATACACATACAGGTGATTGCAGAAACTCGTATAAGGATGAGCCTCTCGCTCGCTCTGACTCTGAAATTCAGCCACCTCAATGGTGGGTGAGTGCTTGGAATTGGGGCTAAAGGTGGACAAGGGGGCCAGTGATTTACTCAGGCCACATTGGGGTGTGCTTTGGTCCAGAAACTGCATCTGCATCTTCAGGCTACCCGGTATAATGGTGAGTTTGCTTAGCTTCTCTGGCTTGCGATAGTCCACCAGAAGCTTTAGCAGCTCCTCATCCTTCAGTTTGGGTAACTCCTGCCGATAAATGGGACTGAATTCAAACTCCTTGTGCGGATCCACATCCAGTTCATGGCTGTACTGCTTGAACAGTGGTCTAGCTGCCCAGGCAAAGGGCTGTCTATAGTGACCTATGTGCTGGGCACAACTCTTGGCGGCCTTGTAGACCTTCTGGCCCAACTTGGGATCCTTGCCAGCCTTGAGATAGGGTTCAGCTGCCTGGGCTATGCCGCATTGCAGGAGTTTCTCCACACGCACCACCTAAAAACATGAGAGAAATTATAGTTTCAAAGGTTTTTAGATATATATTTCGAGTACTTACCAAATATATATCCGCATGTGGAGAGGTCACCGAAAGCAGGCACTGTTTTAGCTGCTGAAATTGCTGGCGATTCGATCTTAGCAACTCTGCGGATACCCCATCGAACAAGGAGTGAGGCGCCTGAGAGCCAGTGCTTCTTTCATCGCCATCTGCTGATTTTCTAGGAACTCCACAGCCAGCCACTGAGGAAGGAACCGGGGTATTCGGCAGAAGTTGGGCCGCCCAGGGCTCATTCACATTGAAGTAGAAATTTTCGCTCAGCTTGCGGTTCGCCTTGGCATCGTACAAAGCCAAGCTGGTGATGTAGGGCTCCACTTGCTGCTCGCTCGCAGAAGCTCCCTCCTCCTGGGGTATACACTGCAGTCGAAAGCGTAGATTGTGGCAGGTAAGCAGGAGACGCGTGCCAAAATGCTCTCGATACTGCTCCACATTGTCACTGCCACTGGACTTGGCTGGGGACTGGTAGCAGGCAAACAGCCGGCGACGCTGCTCTCTCCTGGCCAAGGCTATTGAGTGATCAGTTTCCCTGCCGTATTTCATTAGTTGCGGATGCAGCGATTGATCCAAGCCCTTGAGGGTGCCAAAGGTCTGAGGTTCTACGTTTGGAGCTTGGAGCTGCGGTCCAGGGTTGGAATTAACCGAGGGCTGGCGCTCCAGCGAGGCATTTCGCTTCTCTTCCTGGGCACGATTTTGAGCCAAAACCGAGGAAAGCTTGCCCAGCCAGTCCTTAAAGTCCTGCTCGTTCTCGGCGGCCAGGGTGAAGGATTTATGGCCAGCAGTCATGCGGAGCTCAAAGCAGAAGCGGCCACGTTTGGGATTCTGGAAGGGTTATCTTTGTTATAGGTTGCCTTTAGATATTTCTCGTGCCACTCACCTGCACCACCTCGGTGCAAAAATCCATGACTATGGTGGCCTTGGCTTCGCCCTGCTTCTCGTCCTTGTGCAGCTCTAAGATATAGGTGCCATCAATCTCCTGGCGCAAATAGCAATAGCGACGCTTAAAGGACTTGTTGCCTATGTTGGCAAACATACGATCCGAAGCCGAATCGGGTCCTTTGAGTAGGTATCCCTGCTTGGTGATGGTGTCCGCCTGAGAGCGAGTCATCTGCTCATCAATGCGATCCTGATCGGCATCGATCTCATAAACCTCCTCTAGAAGTTCCTCGGCGGGGGAAATGCTAAGAGATTTGTTTGAACTATGATATTCTTCATTAAGAAAACATTTAACGAAATATTTACCTTGGCAGATCATGACAGTTCCCACCGTAGGCATTATATTTATAATGAATCAAATGATTCTTGGCCCTGTAAGTGTACAGAGCCTGTCGTGTAAAGCGCGTACACTCCGCTCTAGATCCGTGTATAGCCTGACCATCCACCATATCCTCACCATGTCCATCATCCGCATACTCATCCACCTCCTCCGGCTGGGCCAGATGGGAACGGAGTGTGATTGAGGACAAGGCCGACTCATAGGAGGAGTCCTTGTGACTGGAGGAACCATTCGAGCATTGTGAGCTCTTCCTTGATAGTTGGCCATGGCCATTGGAGTTGGACAGACTGCTGTTACTGCTGCTGCTGTTGTGTCCATTACCATTGGAGGTGCCATTGTGGAGGCTACCATTTGACTGGATGCTACCCTGCCGGCTCACCTGGCTATGGCCATTTCCATTGCCAATTATTGAGGGGCCATGCAGGGGACAAACAATCGCCTCGTTGGGGGGCTCGAAGCGATCGGCCACGGATTTGGCATTGGTGCGTTGCTTGCGGGGCATGATGATCTCCTGGAGAGGGGATAAATCAATAAATATTGAGATGGATTCGGTCAATTGTGGGAGTGTTTATATGAAAAAAAGAGTTTAAAAATTGAGTTAAAATAAATATAATTTTGTGAGAAGAAAATTTAAATATAAATTAAAGTAGCAACGATTTAAGAACAACTTTAAAACCTTTTAAACCCAAATCCAATTTAAATATCTTTTATTTCATGAATTCATTTTAAAATTCTTTGTTTCTTCTGCTTCCACAAAAAACACCTTTAAAAATATATATTTTCTCTACTCACGGAGACATCGTCAGCGGGATAGATGAGCAGCTCCCTCTGGGGATCATTCTGGATAACTGTTTTATTTTTGGCTATAAAGGCTTCAAAGTCGATCGGCTCCACCACCATGGGCTTGTTCTGGAAAAGACAGAAAATTTGTATAAATATTCAGTATTTCTTAATTTTTTTTTTGTTTGCTAATTTATGCGCGCCACTTGTAAAAGCAGAGCGCCGCCGCTATAAATAGACACAACCCAAAAAAAGTAATGCCCCACGAATGTGTTATCCATTCCCGATGCCCGATGGAATATGCAGGCGGTTTTTGAGAGATTTATCGGTACTACGCACGCCATAAATTTATTTCCACTTTGTGATGGGTGGTGTGAGCAGAGAGAGCTCCTCCTCTGGGCATTTTTCTGCCCCCACAGAGTGGAGACCTTGACCGCATTACAATGAGCGGATGCCCGCTCTCCGTGTAATGATATCTTCCATGTCTGCCAGCCGGCATAAACAAATTCATTTCGTTTAAACATTCTAAACATTTTAGCATTTTGCAGTCATTTGTGGATATTTTCAGCTTTTGCGTCTTAGTTTTTGGCCACAAGATCATCAAGATACGACCCAACCCAACCCCTTATGACATGGTCATAGTGGGTTAAAGTGCCACTTCCGTTTGGCCATATCCATTTCAGGTGACTGTGCTGTCATTTTATTGCTTTCCTGAAACTCGAGGTGTGTGGGTTCTGGTTTTCTCTTTTATTTTAGGGCTTGGTTCTTGGCAGGAAGCGACAGGTCATGGGAAAGGCCCTAAAAAAAACTCGGGTTAACTAAGGTTAACTGCGTATATGTGGGGGAAATTGGTGAAAGGATTTGGCATGGGTTGGAAATTAATATTGGGAAAGGTGTAAGCTTTTCGGTTCTTAATTAAAAGGAATGTCAAAAGGTGAAGTTTTTCATGTGGGAAATTCTTAAAATTATCATTAATTTATTTCATAAATAAGCCCACTAATTAAAAATAAAGAAAAAATATATAAAAATAACTCTTAACGATTTCCTTTTTATAGAAATGTATGGTTACAAATTGAAGCTTGAAATCTTTCTTTAAAATCAAAAATAAATCAATGGCCATCAAATCAAGCCTTGGTTTTGGCCCTGATCCCACTCAAATGCACTTCGTGCCCGGCCACGCCCACATAAGTACCTGCCCCTTCAAGTAAAAGCGGCAATGTCAATGCACTCGCCCACTCGGCCAGCTTTTGGTTTGGGGGAAAGCATTTTTCCATTTTCCATTGTGTGCTCAGGTCCGGGCCTTTTCCTGCGGCTCCTCCATTTCGCCTCTTGGCACGCACGCATGCAAATTGCCAGACGAAGACGACGACGACGCCGCTTTTTAGTTATGTAATTAAAACCCAAAACCGGCGACAAGCTTGTACACAAAATACAAAAAAAAAGATCCAAACTACAGGTACAAAATACACCTACAGCAACAAGCACACGACAAGTGCACGGGCATTACGCAAAAGGGTAAACTTCAGCGATCGGCCAATTACCAAATCAATTTGACGAGAAAGTTGGCCAAACAATATATATATTTTGTGGGTTTTTTTCTGCTAAATGAAAAGCCAAATTTTAAAAACTGAAAAAAATGCCACGCCATGGTGGTCGATCGCTGGACACGCAAATTCGCGGTGAAGGATCCCATCAAGCTGAACTGGTCTAGCAAAGAGTGAAGACCTCAGAGATTCAATGACCACCAGTTTCGTGTCTGGTGTTAATGGTTTTTAGATGGTTTTAGTTGAAAAGTGTGGAAAATGTGATATAATAAAAGCCGAATTTTAAGAGTTTTTAAATCTAAGAAAATTTCTAAAAATTGAATTGATATTTTAAATAAATTTTTTGAAAATAAAATAAGTATATTACCTTTACCCAACTAATTTTTAGCCATTTTTTGTTTATTTTTAGCCTCTAAATTCCCTCATCACTGATCCTTACCTAGCCAACACTCTGTTTTAATTTAAAGTTAGCGGTTTGAGGCGCCACGGCAGGCAAAACGTGACGATTTATGCATATTTGAGTGAAACACTGGCCAGGCCTCAAGTGGCAATGGCAATCACACCTCCTTCCCCCATTTAAACCGAGCCCCTCATCACTAAATTCCCCTCCTGAAAATGAAGTAGGCTTGACTTTCATTGATTTTTGCCAGAGCAATTGGCCCTGGCATGTCTTGAATGTCACTTGAAGCGGCGGCGGGTATTCCGCTTATCAATTGAAATTGCATCAATGCGGCAGAAGATGCCTTCGAATATATATACATATATGCTTATATCAGCTATATAGACTCGACCAGAAAAGGGTCACGGAATGTTGGCTCGGCTCATTTGGATTTCACTTTGAAGTGGAAACCATTGAAGTGGTCGAGGCGTTCCTCCCTTCCTGATTTGCATGGAAAAATTGTGACTAAATTTAGCCTAAAGTCTATATTGCATATGATTTGGCTTCGTTGTTTTGTGTCTGTGTCTGGTGAACGTTTGACCTACACGAGAATGGTTTTTTTTCGAGTGTTTTTCGATTGGGTAAGTGGTAGCAGAAATTAAAACCATTCAAGTGGGTTTTTTATGGACATTTTCTTAAAATTTTAAAAGCTTTGAAAGTGCGGTAGTGGCAGTAAAGGAAGCTTGGAAGACAATATATTTATGTTGGTTTAATTATAGGTTTGATTTCAAACTAAGCTATTTATTTAAATTGAAAAACAATTACTTAAAAAGGTTTATATCTATTTCTGTAGCCTTTTTTGCAAACATTTTCTGGCTGGCCCTCTTTTCGTAGCTGATTCCGATTTGAATACAATGTATACTATTTGCTTTTTCATATAAACAAAAAAATATAGAACAAAAAGTATACAACTTTTGTGATTTGCTGCTCATTTTGCAGTGTATGGCAGCTGGCATCCGTTCTGGCATAGGAATCCGGCATGTAAATTCCATAAATTTATGCCCATGCAGGGATTTCCTGCTCTGCCCTCTCTCTGAATTGCACTGATAAATGCATATAAAAATATTTTATTTCTTTATTTATAATTTTCTTTATCGGTTTCCCAACTGGATGGATGGATGGATGGGTTGGTGGAGAGGTTTGTCCAGTCTTTGGATTTGCGACTTGGGAACTGGTTTCGGCCCAGCAAGGCATTTGTTTTGGTCATTTTCGGCGGGTTTCACTGTGACTCTCGGTTTATTGAACCCAAAACATGTGTAAATAAATTAAAAAGTCAAACCAAGTGCAAGTGAGATATGTAACTGGCCCACCCATAAAGGTGGCGGCGACCAGTCAGCAGTTTTCCTTAACCATTCCAGGCATTCCACAACACCAAACATGTTGTGAAAAAAAAAAACACAAAAATATATAAAAAACGGAAAACACAAGTAAGCTTGGTTTTTTCCAAACTCAACAAATTTCTCGCATTTAGTTATACAACTAAATAATTTATGGCCCGGGCAAAAGTTGAACTTTCTAAGCAAGATATTCTATTCAATATGGGCAACGAATTTCACCCAGTTTCAAGTCCAATTCGTAGGCAAATTTACATGCCCGGGTACAAATGAGGAAGCTTATCATTAGCTGCGTTCAATTCAAAGTAAATACAAATACTTTGGCAGCCGGCCGCCATTCATTAGATGGCTTTTTGTTGTCCGCACAATGAGAGAAATGTGGAGGGAACTGTCGCCTGTCGTCTGCATAAGCGGCATTTAAATCATACGCCCCATAATACGAGGTAGTATAGCTTAACTATACAATATTTATAATGCACTAATCGCCGACGATCGGTGCTTATGTAAGCCACATAAGCAGACTGCGATGATGATGACTGTTTTAGACCCGTTTAAAACAGTCTTAGTTCAGGGTGGGTAAAAGTTCCGCAAACACTTTCATTTGTTGCACAACTTTTGATTTTAAACTAGGGATAGATGTTGGGATAGAGGGAAAAAGTCTTATAATATATATTGTATCGCAATCAATAAAAATTATCATCAAATAAATTATCGAATCTTATCGAAAGAAAAATAGTAATTTAAAAATAAATAAAATATAAATTTCTTATTAGTTTTCTAACTCTTATACATTTTTATCGATAATATAAAACAAAATATCGATTTCTTCAATTGATATCGCAAAGTCAAATTACAAAATTATCTAAAATATATCGATATTTTCTTTATTTACTCTAAAGTGAAGTCTTACTTATACTGGAAGTATATAATAATATGCATTTTTAAGACAAGAATAATTTGTTTTCTTTAATTATTTGGTTAAAGATTTTTAAATTTTTTTTCTTTATGTTTTAATATATTTTTTATTTATATATATTTCCCCAATTTCATGTTGAATAATTACAAAACAAATTGCAATGACTAAAAACACCTGACATGGCACAGAAAAACCGCTTGTTTCCACAATGAAGCAGGTTCTGACCCTTGAGTGTTTTAACCTCTGAAGGTCATAAGCCACCTGGTTTTCACATTGTTGGTAATCTGTGTTGGCCAACTCAACCAGAAGTACAAGAATAACCAGAAACAGCCTTGAGGACAATATGAAACAGAAAAAAAATCCCCCTGAGCCGGCATAAAAATAATTGCCCTAAAAGCAGGAAAAGCAAGTGCAGCAAAAAAACCAAACAGAGAAAAATGTGGAAAAGTGAGGAAAAAAAAAAAAATACAAGACAAAAGACAAAGGCACAAAAAGTTCCCACGCAGTAAAAAGAGATAGAGATATAATCATATAGGAAACTTATCCAGTTCTTGGTCATGTCTCGTTGTTCAGCGAATAATTACCCATCGAACTGAGCCTGAAAGAAAGTAAAAGAAAAACCAAGAAAAGCGTGCACACATTTTTGGAAAATTGTGAAAGGAAGCTAAGACTGGCAAGGCAATGTTTAGATACCCTTTTGGTAATAGAGATTTTTGGAAGATTTTAAAAATAAATATAATAAATAATAGAAGGATCTATGATAATAATTCTTTGTTTTTATCCAAGTTCAGTTGTTAAAAGAGGTTGTTAAAAATATAAATAAAATATAATATAATTCTTATACTAATCTTAAAACTGAAGAACACCTTTTACCAACAGTCTTACCCCCTGAAAGA